ACCGCAGAGCGATACCGGAAGACAGGAGTATCGCTTGCGCAAAGACCGATAACCGAGTAGCCAGCTCTACGTACCTTCGAGATGATTAACGGTTCTCCGCGTTCGAGGCCGCCTTTGAGAGTGAAGCCCCACGGTGCTCCGCCGTGTAAGAATGCCTCAACAAGCAGCGCGTTTCCGGCCATAGTCGCCCTCTGAACGTCCGCGAGTCCTGGGCGAGCCTGGTCCAGAGAAGCCCGCTCGCAGGGTCCGGGTCCGGGTTCGGGACGAGCAGCGGTCGCTTCAGTCATTTCTCTGCGTTTGAGTCATGATAAGAGACTAAACTCTGCGGCATTTCTACATTCTACCTCGGAGATCAATAAGACCGACCGACACACACACACACACACACACACATATATATGTATATATATATGTGTATATCCCACACGCCAAGCTGAAGAAAAAGAGCTAAAGCATTTAGTTTAAGAAGTCAGACAGTCTCGTGTGTGATGGTTCGTCAGCCCTTTTCCCAGCTCGGACATTTTGATTTGAACATTACAATCGAATTTGCCACGATCCAGCGCGCGCGCGCAGGGAAACCGCGAGCGCACTCAGTGAGAGAAAAGTCCTGTCAGAAAGTTCTCCGGATCATCCACAGACCCGACACGCGGCTTTTAATCCCACACATAATCCCACACAGTTGGTCAGAATCCAGATATTCCCCCCGCAGGGATCTCCTCCAGCGTGTCCGTCGCTCTGAGGAGGAGAGTTTGTGTTTCTCCGGACGGATGAGAGAGAGAGAGAGAGAGAGAGAGAGAGAGAGAGAGAGAGCGAAGCTCGCGCGCGCGCCCCTCACCGCCCTGCTACAGACTCATCAGAAAGGTGGCACCGACTGCGCATGCGCACACGACACGAGCTGATCTCTTCGCCTGAGAGCGCTGAAGTGATTCCTCATGAGGCTACACCTAAACACAACCACTAGAATAGTAGAAGACTACCTCAGGTTCCACTGTTCTCATTAAAGAACAGGAACCTGAGGCTAGGAGGTCAAAACTGGGGATTGGGAAAAAGACCAGGTGAACCCCCACCCCCCCCCAAACCCTACACCTAACCCGAACCCCCCCAAACCCCAACCCTAATACCCGTCAAACCCTAACCTTAATTCCCCCAAACCCTAACATTAACCCCCCAAACCCTAACCCTAATCCTTATCCCCCCAAACCCTAACCCTAATCCCCGAACCCTAACCCTTAATCCCCCCAAACCTTAACCCTAACCCTAATCCCCCACAAACCCTAACCCTAATCCCCCCAAACCATAACCCTAATCCCCAAACCCTAACCCTAATCCCCAAACCCTAACCTATCAACAAACCCCAACTAACCCAAAAACCAAACAAACATATCCCCCCAACCCAACCCTAATCCCAACCTAACCCTAATCCCCCAAACCTTAACCCTAACCCTAATCCCCCACAAACCCTAACCCTTAATCCCCCAAACCATAACCCTAATCCCCCAAACCCTAACCCTAATCCCCCCAAACCCTAACTCTAATCCCCCCTAACCCTAATCCCCCAAACCCAAACCCTAATCCCCCAAACCCTAACCCTAATCCCCCCAAACCCAAACCCTAAGGCTAATCCCCCCAAACCCTAACTCTAATCCCCCCCACAACCCAACCAAAAAGGCCCCCAAACAAACCCAAACCCTAACCCTAATCCTAATGCCCCCCAAATATTCAACTGTCCAGTCTTTACCTGCTGTAGCGCCCATCCACCTCAACATATTGTCCATTCTGAGATGTTTGTCACCTCACTACAGTTGTAAGAAGCGGTTCTTTGAGTAACCGTAGTCAGCTCGAACCAGTCTAGCCATTCTCTAACCTCTCTCATCAACAAGCCGTTTCCACCCACATAACTGATGCTCATTATATTCTTTTTTTTTTTTTTTATTCTGTGTAAACTCTAGAGACTGTTGTTGTGTGTGTGTGTGTGTGTGTGTGTGTGAAAATCCCACGAGATCTGCAGTTTCTGAAATACTCAAACCAGCCCATCTGTCACCAACAAACATGCCACGGTCGAAGTCACAGAGATCACATCCACACCCCCCGAGATAATCATAATCCCCTCCCCCGTAACAGAAGCTCTTCACCTGTATCCCGCCGCTTTTATGCACTGCACTTGGACCACATCATCGGCTGATTATATAACTGCATGAACGATCGGGTGTACGGGTGTTCCTAATAAAGTGGCCACTGAACACCCAAAGAATCCTGCATAAAACGAACAGAACAATAACAGACTGTTTTTATTAGCATGATGAGATATGTAAGGAATAAAACATAAAACAGACCGGGCATCTGTTATAGAAAATGATCAACAATGTGGTTCTGTTAAGCTGCCCAATGTGACCCCGAAGTTGTTTATTTTCGTACAACAGCATGTCCCTACGTGCTTTATTCCAATTATACCACAACATTTAGCAAATTATGACATTTTTAAAAATTGTTCTCATTAATGAACGACCCAACACACGTACATTTGAATGGTTTATAGTTACATTTAATGTTGTGGGACATCTTTGAGATAAATGAATTCCTCTTATCACTTACATTAGAGCCACTCTAAATAGTAGCTCCCTCATCAGCCTTTCCCTAGAAAGAGTAGTCTTCTGTCCTGAAACTTAAACTTACAGCTTGCTGACACTGGAGACTCCTTCCAAAAAACGTCCAATTAATGTCTCCTTATAGAAAGCGTCATCGTATCACAACTTCATAGCCGCTTATACGAGGAACGAGTATTACAAAAGCACAACACCGCCGAAAGTAAAGAATGTGGAGGGCATTTATCAAGAGAATATTACAAAGAACTGTTTTGAAAAAACAGGATTAATGCATTCATGCAATTTTGTATGTGCACATGTGCCTAAAGTCTGCTTTGTGCATTTATAATGGCATAAAAAAAAAATCACAACATGACACATTATGTACAGTAATCTGCACACATGTAGTAGACAGACACGAACTAACGCTGAAAATCTTCACAAACAAATTTTCCAGAATAGTCCAGTGGGTCAAAATCTACAGTACACTCCACACTATGGTCCAAATCAATGTTGTTTGTAAGGAACGGGCTGATGGGTCTCCACATTGCCTAAGGACCGATTAAGCTGCGAGATATTAATACCTCTCACAGGCGACTGCGAATGAGTTCTTCTGTTTGGGGACATTCTACTTACTAGTGCTAACCTGCTTGTCTTTTCATTGTGTGTTTAATCAGGCAGATGCACACAAACACACTCATACACATCGTTGTTGTCCAATCAAAAATGTGTATAATGGGTTGCTGTGGAACCAGGATCGATCCTGAGAACACTGGGCTTGAAGGCAGGAATTGGAAACACTCTGGATGGGTCGCCAATCTGTCGCGGTCTTTTAATATTTGATGTGTGTGTTCCTCTGTAAGTTTTGGTTTAAAAATAAACCTGTTATACCTGTAAATAAAATGATTTTAAAAACTATGTAACCCCATATTAGGCATTGGAGAGTCGACAGCATACAGTCATTTGGTACACAGTCTAGCAGCGCATTTTGAGTCATTTTAAACATACATTTGTTCAACTTGAAGCCTGGAGCCTATCCCAGGGAACACCGTGGGAGCTTCCCAGAATTTGAAGATTCTGAGACGTAGGCCTCGTTAGATGTGCTTTCAGTTAGGACTGGTGTTTGACATCTGCACATAGTCAATAACTTGGAAAGGCCAACTAAACACAAAGATGTCTTCTTCAAAGTGTGCCCACTCTATGACTCCATTCCTCAAGTGCTGTTTGGATCTCTCACTAGAAGAAAGTCTCTGCACTGATGACCCGATGATGCCGTTCAGGGGTGCACCCTCCCCAAAACAATACGGGAAAAGAAACCCAAACTCATGCGGTGTCGAGATTTACTTTCTCTGTAGCAAAAGAGGACTTGCCTATGATGTCCTCCTCCATCAGGGTGCACCTACTCCCAAGATGACGAGAAACATCCGCGGACTGGAGCTGCTATAGGTCTCGGTCAGAGAATCAACAATCCCAACCACAACTACAAATGTACTTTGACAATTACTTTACAGAGCATTGTAGATACTCACTGAGAAGAAAATACAGGCTGCAGGCAAGAGCCTGTCACTTTGCAAAAACACCTCTCCAGTCAGACAAGGACGTGTCAGAGAAGCAGAGAGGCACCATGATGAAGTTGTGTGCCGTGATGGCAAAATTGTTCTGAGCAAATGCTATGACAACCATCCAGTCCATATGGACCCTAACCTTGTTGGGGTTGGGGAACAAGATGAAGTAGAGAAGTGGGACAATAAGGAGAGCAAATATGTTATAATCAGTCATCCTGAAGTGGTAAGGAAGTGCAATGACCAGCCTCTACTGAACAGAAATTCACTCATGAAAATGGACACTGAGAATGATTACCCATGCTTTTGATGTGGCAGTGCTAAACAGCTGGAATAAATACAGAAAGAATGCTGAGAACGCACAGTGGTATCTAGGATCTCGTCGAAATCAGAATGAATGTGTTACAGCGTCATGTGTGATTGCAAGAGCCAAATGTGCAAAATAAAAGAGAAAGGCCAAGCACCTCTACCATACCTTATGAAGAGCAATCTTTGATGAAACAAGTTTAGGAAAGAAGAGCCTTGCCAGATACACAGTTTGACCTGGTATGAAAATGAAACATTCATTAATGCTTTGTACCACAAAGCAATAGCTTTAAAGCTGCTCATTGGAATTAAAATTTAACGTCGTAGTTCTATGAAAGCATCTATTCTTTCCAACACTTTCACTGGCTAGCTGAGTGTGCTAAACTAGCTAGCCATATCTTTATGATGGTTTACAGTATGAAAGCTCTGTATTAAACTTCAGTCAGTTTGATGTTCACTAGCGATGGCGTGTTGTGTTCAATATACTGAAGTGCTTCTACGGACGGATGTTGTCGCGGCTCATTGGACCACATATTTGATTTGGCTGGGGTTCCCTGCCTGGGAATTGAACCTGTGCCGCGGCAGTAAGAGCACGGGATCTTTAGCCGCTAGACCACCAGGGAAGTACAGGCTATAGATAGTGCTCAGGATAATGTGTAAGGGGGCGTCTTTGCAAGCTAGCTAATTATGTAGCAAGAAACATGTATGAATTAACATGAGCTAGCTAGCTAGCTAGCTAACCAATGAGCCTAGCAAGTTACTGTAACCCCAACAAAATTTGGCTAAATTAGCTAGCCAGCTAACGTTACCTTTCTTTATATACGGTTGATAATCTAGGTGGTGTTTATTTCAGCAGAGCTCTCTAGGTTAGGTAACATTAACAAAATGCATTCCTCAGATATGGTAGGTCTATTTTAGCACTTCCTGGGGGATATTGATTGGAACTAATGAAGTCATTAACGACTTAAGAATCTGTGTTGTGTTGTAGAATCGGTCTAGATTTGAAGATGTAGACGTGAAATAAATTTGCTTCATGAAATTCGTCATGGTTATTGTAAATTTCATTATATGTATTTTATATATTATATATCTGCAGATTAGTTGCGTCAATTGTAGACATATGAAAATACATGTTTGTTTTTTTTTAAAGTAATTACTCAAGTAGTTTCTTTTCACAAGATGACATGTTTACTCTCTTTGATTTTCTTGAGGACTTCTTTTACTTTTACTCAACAGAATTAGTACACTTGCAGTAAAATTTACTCAGTCGATATACGTTTTCCACCACTGGGAATATATAGCAGCCCTTATTCACATCCCTCATCTATATTATAAACGTCCCTAACTATTCATCCATCCATCCATCCATCCATCTTCAACCACTTATTCCTTCTTCAGGGTCACAGGGAATCTGGAGCCTATCCCAGGAAGCATCGGGCACAAGGCGGGGTACACCCCGGACAGGGTGCCGTCCCTAACTAGCTGATGCTAATACTAATACAGTACTTCCAAGTTAAATTATATTAACTGCCACTTTTTAGTTAATCAGCCGACTAGAACATTAAACTTTCACTTTGAAATTCAGAGATATGACTTTCTTTCTCTTTTGAGCAAACATCAGCATGAGACGGCAGGTCTGAGAAAATTTCTGAACCTGTGTCCTGACAATTGAAACCTGTATTTGTTGAGTGAAGAATAGTGCTAAAATTACCAAGAGTAACACTACCTTTCGTGTTAAACTATACCTGAGCACAGCCTTTAATGATACCTCTCAGGTAGCCTACAACTAAAGCACACATAAATGTAGTCTCCAATGATACCTCTGATACTTAAAGCACACGTAGCCTCCACGGCCACCCTTCAGACAGGTTCGGCTGGTATACATGGGCTAGAGGGGAGAAGCCGTACCTCTCTTGCAAAAAAAAAATAAATTTTATAAATATAAAGTTCAGTTTTTGCCATTTACAGTACCATCCATCCATCCATCCATCCATCCTCTGCCAGATTCACATGCGTCGAACATGAGTACAGCTAAAAGGTCTCAGTTAAGAAACAAACATCACCGCGAGAGACCGTGCAGAACAAATTTCACGTGATTGCGATTTCACCAATTCAAATAGTTTTGCACGAAAAAAGCGCATAAAAATGTCATCGCACGTTGCAGCGCAAATTTAGGAAGAAAAAAAGCCGCAGCAAAAGCAAGCACTTTCTTGGACGCAACAATCGCGAAAAATCTCCGCGAAATGGTATACGGACTGACCGACGTCTCTAATGCGAAAACATACTGAATATAGCCTGAACACACACAGCACTTCATGCCTGAGATAGTATACCTGAGCCAGCTTACTTTGTGTCAGTTCCCCACTTGAACCTGTGTGTGTGTGTGTGTGTGTGTGTGTGTGTGGTTCCTCAGGGTTCTATTTCAAGGCCCATTCATTTTGTCAAGGAATCAATCATTGTCTTAAGGACATTAAAATCTGGATTTTGTCCCCATTTGATTGTGCTTCCTCCACATAAGAAAACGCTTGTATCTTAAATGTATCTTGTGCGTTGTATCCAAAACCATGGGATGACCTTTAACACAGAACTGACAAGTCAATAAAAGTTGTTAAAAGTCGTTATTTAAATGATTATTATTATTCATTACTTTCTTTTCATGACGTTGCAGGTCAGCACAATGTCTTTTAAAGCTTTCAATAACACACCCGAGTCTGCCAAAAACACAAGTGAAGTATGATAGCAGGTGTGGCTGGAACACACTCGGCACATCAGAACACGTTTGCTGATGACCTAATCACACCCATCATTGAATGAGTTCATTTTTTCTGGTATACTTTTCAATCAGATGAGTCATTTGGCACTGATTTAATCACTGATTATTACTGAAGTGGAAAAAAACCCCAAACAAACACCTGGTTCAAATCCAGGAGAACAAACAGTGAGAAACAGGTCGTCACAACCTTTTTAGGAACGCACATGACGCACACTGTTTGCACTTATTTGCTTGCTTTTGTATTGTAAAGATATTGTGGAAATAAAGATAGATTTGTGTAACGAGATGTCTATTATTCATTCATTATTATTAGTGTGTGCATCCATGCTTGTATCATCCTTTTCCATAAATAAATAAATAAATAAATGTACATTTCAGTTGCGTTCTACAACATTCACCCAGCTCTTTCATTCAAACTGTTATTTGCAATATTCCGCAAGTCATACGTTCAACAGGAAGTTGCGTCACACATGTAGCCCTTGTTTTCCTCAGGTTGTCTAGCTAGCTGGCTAAACAATTACATGGTTTATTAGAATGAAAACAAAGCAACATCGCAAGGTTTGTTGACAACGCTCAGGTGTAACCATCCATCCATCCGTCCATCCATCCATCCAGTACCACTTGCTCCTTTTCAGGGTCGCGGGAACCTGGAGCCTGTGTGTAACCATTATTTCCATATTTTATTCCTTCTACGTTTCATTCTATCCATCTGTTAAAATGGCAGGTTTTTGTACTGTAAAATTATTATATTATTTTTTTTTTTTTTTACATATAAAAAGATTAATCCTGTCAGAACATTTTCGACATTTATTGGGAAATTGTAACCTATTAATGAAAGTGAAAACCAATCAGAATCAGTTTTTTTGGGAGTAACCTGGTTGCATTAGCGTGCCCACCTGTACACTCATGCGTAGTTAAAAGCACCTTTAGAATTCATCACAGCGTTCATTCTTTTGGGTGAGACTGAATCGGTTTGGCACGTTAAGGCAGAAGCCTTATGGTTTTGCTCCAAACGTGACTGGTATTTGGAGCTATGATTGGTTCCCTCCACGCTGATTAAAGCCTCGGTTCCAGTTGAAGAAAAAAAAAACAGCCCCAAAGTGTGACGCTGCCACCATCGTGCTTCACCCTGGGGATGGTGGGTTTTTTGTGCCAAACATTTTTTGGTATTATGGCCAAAAACTTCAACTTTGGTCTCATCAGACCAGAACACATTATTCCACAGGGTTTTGGATTTATTTATTTGGTTAAAAAAAAAAAGGGCCCCTTGCTATAGTGCACTTTATTTCTCTCGCGCTTTATGCTCACGTTAAATCTCCCTGAGCCTCCCCTGCAGTATTCTTACGCCTCCCAAGCAGGACCCGCCTTACACTTTGGGAACCACTGGGTTAACTTTTTTTTTTAATTATTATTATTATTATTAATATTTTCTTAGATTCAGTGTTGAGGAATGATTTAAAAATGGAAAAGGTTTCATTCGATTTATAAGGGCTAAATTGCACCCAGGTCATGGAATTGCACAAGAGCTGAAACAGTGAGTTGTACATGTTGGTTTCATTGTGTAAGTGTGTGTGTGTGTGTGTGTATCATGTTTTGGTAGGAGGAAACATTTTCAGAACTGTAAGCTATAGAATATCAGAGGTAGTAAGTGCTTTGTGTGTGTGTGTGTGTGTGTGTGAGAGAGAGAGAGAGAGATTGAAATGTGAATGTATGAGATCACAGAGTGAGCAGGCACACAGCACACATGGGTAACATCAACACAGTACATTCCTCAGTGTATTATGTCACAGTATGGGAGGTTTACTTTGATTATATTACCTTAGAGGCAGGAGTGAAGTGAAGGCTAAATATACAACATTACCTAATCATTCAGGAGAAGAGAAAAGTATTTACCCACCTTCTAGAGATCTAGCTCTGCAAAAAAATGTAAAAAAAAAAATAAATAAAAAATAAAAAAAGTTCCTTCACAGGGACATAAAAAAAAAGTATTTTCAACTTGATTTTAAATTGTCGGAACTGGGAATGTATTAAATATATTAAATATTGTGTGTGATAAGCAAGGAATAAAATACTTGAGTGTTGTATTCCTCTTACAATACCACAACAAAGATTACTTTAACTAATTACAAATTTTTATTTATTTATTAATGAAACCACACAAATATATGAGATTTGATATTTACAGTGCTGAGAAAAAGTATTTGACCCCGTCCTGATTTCTTCTGTGTGTGTGTGTGTGTGTGTGTGTGTGTGTGTCTCATACTAAATAGTTTCAGATATTAAAACTAAATCTGAGATAAAACAAAGGGGGGGGTAGAAAAAAAAAAAATATTTAATTTTTTTGTTATTTTTTTTTGTTTTTATTATTATAAAAAAAAATTTTTTTTTTTTTTGTGTTTTTTTTTTTTTGTTTTTTTTTTTTTTTTTTATTTTTATTTTAAAATTTTTTTTTTTTTTTTTTTTTTTGGGGGGGGGGGGGAGGGGGTGTTTTTTTTCTAAAACGCTGATCAATCACATCAACACTTACATAGAACTTTTTCAACAGCAGGAAGTTGGTTAAAAGGTCTTACTCAGTAACACACTATACCAAAGTGGAAAGAAATTCCAGAAATGATGATGAAGAAGGTGATTGAAAAACATCAGTCTGGGATTTAGGGTTACAAAGCTATTTCAGAGGCTCCGGGACTCCAAAGAACCACAGCGAGAGCCGTTATCTCCAAATGGAAAAACTCGGCACAGTAGTGAACCTTCCCAGAAGTGTCCGACCTTCCGAAATTCCTCCAAGAGCACAGCGACGACTCATCCAGGAAGTCACAAAGAGTCAAGGACATCATCAAAGGACCTACAGAC